GATAATTAATGTTTGATGTTCATTGAACTCGACATAAACATTCAACGCTGGGGTACCTAACTTTCAAACTACAACAAATGAACGATGTAAAAAGTAACTAGTTTCTTGCTCTCTACGCAGTTTGGTTCTATCTCAGCTGCTGTGTCTACATCCTTTCCAGACATAAAAGTGAAGAATAAGTGTTTTTCTACTATAATGAAGGCAGCAGGTTGTGATCTGATTTGTTAAGAGCAAAACACTTTTACAGGAGAAAAACATGTACACATTTATCCCAGATTTAAGTATTTTTTTCCCTGATATCTCTACTTAATTGTTGATATCTATTGACAACTGTAAACATGGGCTAATACAGGTGTAAAGTGGTTAGCTATGCTTCTAAGTGAATCCATTCATTGTGGTTATCCATGCTTCTAAGTTCCACATAGGAGAAGCTTTCAGTGCTAGATTTTAGATTTCAATACAAGATTCTTAAACAATAACAGTAGCTCAGTTGGTAGAGCATTGGCCTTAAGGCCAGAAGGTTGTGGGTTCAATTCCCACCTCTGCACCTTCTCCACCGACTCCCACTGATGACTGCTGTCGTTGTGTTCTTGGGCAAGACACTTAACCCCACTTTGCCCAAAGCCCCCACTGAAAGATCAAGGCTATGCTCACACTCAGAGAGCAGCCGTCCTCCTGTGGACTCACCACCTGCAGAGGGTCAGTGAGGGGCTGGTGCTATGAGACTTGGGTGGCATCTCTGACTGCCACCCCCCTGACCCAGAAATGGATTAAAGGGGAGAAAATGGATGGATTCTTAAACATGTTAAGGGCAAAATACTTTTACAAGAAAAAAACATGTAAACATTTAAAAACTTTTTTTAAGGAAGCCGTGATCGTGATACGTGCATTTCTCTTTACACGATGACACTAAATACTTTCGGTCCTATCTAAAGTAAAGCTATTACCCCCTTTGTTTTATAATGGAAGCTTTACACATTTCCCTCAATCAAGCCCCCTCCCAAAAACCACCCTAGTCAATATGTAGTTAATGAGCCTTGGGGGGGTCTGTTGGTGTTACACGGCTTAGTCCCGTGTAAAACATGTCCCATGCATGTCACTGCGTCTTCAAACTCACCATTGTTGCCCGAGTCACATAAGCAACTGTTGTATCTCTAAAGCTTGTAAAAGGCCTGTGTGTGTGTGTGTGTGTGTGCGTGTTCGGATGGTTAACATGGTGCTGCTGGTGCATGGGGTGATCTTTATAAGGTAAAAAAAAAAATAAAAAGAAGAGAGCGGGGGTTGGAGGGTGGGCCGGTTCATTTGTGGCCGAAGAACAGAAAAGACAAATTGAGGAAGTGTTGTGCTAATGTGAGGGGTCAGGAGCAGACACACACGCATAGGTTTGTGACTGGCTTCTACTTGGGTGGGCTTTAACTTCGCTCTCCTCTGTGGCTTGTCTCTGTTGCTCACCCACGAACACAGCCCTGGAGCCATCAAGCCACCCAGATACAACCCCCCCTCACTCAAACCCCACTCACTCAAACCCCACTGCAGAAAAAAAACCCCAGGGAACCAGCGTGTGTCTTCGGTGGGCACACTCGGGACCACTGTCCGCCCCCGGGTGCATTCGACTCCCACGTAAGGGAAGTATTTCAGGGGATGCCCAAGTCTGTCGGCTCACCTCATCAATCAGGCCAAATGAAGGTGTTCCTCCTCACCTTTTGGCTCCACTTAAGGCTTTGGTGCTCTGATGATATTCTGTAGATGGGAGAACTAACTTGGAAATATGAATGAATGGATGAAAGTTTATTTGAACATGGAATAAAAACACCAGAGTAAGAACAAAAAGATAAAGAAAAAAAAATGTCAACAAGACTTCAATCTATCAATCAACGTTTATTTGTATAGTGCCTTTATACTCAAGGCAACACAAAGCGCCTCACAACCCACATCATATCCAGCAAATCATAAACATTAAAATCTATATATACATAAAAACACAATAAATATTAAAAACAGAATAAAAACACAAGTGATTAAAAACCTTAGAAGTCAAAGCTTGTTCAATCCCACCCCTTCTCCCTATGTTCTTTTAATATATTTTAGAGTAAAAGAGTAAAAAGTAAAATAGTAGCTGGTAACAAAGAGAGTACTGTCAATGTGTGGAACAGTAGGTTTAAGCAAGGAAAACATTCTTTCAGCATTTATTATTATTATTATTTCTTTTACACATGTTGATATTTTATTCTTAGTTTCTGTCCTGGACATTGTGGGTTTTTGGCTAAGTGAGGGTGGTCCTATCTTTTGCATTTTTTTGTCTGGAAAAAGCTGATCTGAACGTGTCAGAGGAAACAAAACATACGTGTGAAAACCAGTGATAGAAAACAAACGGTTTTGAGAGCGAAAATCTTACAGTAGATGGATTTTATTACTCAAATTTGTTGTTTGTGATTTGAAAGTTAGGTTCCCGAGCTTTAAACAGTCCCTCAGTTTCAGACTCTAGTGAAAACAGGTGGTTCCTGAAAACACATTTTGTTTTCACTTCAGACACATGTACATTATGAAGCACAACATAAACTGCATATCACTACGGATAAAAATATTAAAATTATAACAATATTTAGTATGAAGAATTGAATCAAACTCTTACAAAATTGCGGCAATAAAAGTTTTTCATATTACATTAATTATACTGCATTGTCATGTTCACAAATATGACCAAATTCTCATTAGTGAATAGTACATTCTTAACTCATTGACTGCCGTTGACGTATTTGTCGGAGATTGGTGATTTCTGTCAAGCTTCTCTTTTTCGATTGGGGATTTCAGGAGAACAAAACCAGCTAAAAACAAACTTATTTTCCTCTGATGAAATTAAACAATCCACTCAAAGCACATAATATTCTGTGGGTCTTTGAGAATCAGTGAAATCATCAAAAACGGCTGGCAGTCTATGAGCAAATGTATTTTTTCCCGAGAATAATAATGTTTTGATCATTTTAGATGTTTGTATATTCTTCTGTAAACTATTTGAATAGTTTTTATAAGAGGGCTTTTAGTTTTATAAACAAATACATTTCTCATTTCTATTAGGCTTTATGGGTGGGACTTTAAACTTCAAAACGCACATAACAATCCAGAGTACACCTTTTTTTTTAGTAACCTTTAGTAACCTTTTTTCTAAAGGAAATATTGAACAAGAAAATGTTTTGAAACTCGCCGTATCATTCTTATTCCCAACATCATGCATATATTTTTTGAATAGGTTTTGATATCCAGATATTCATTTTATAATTTACTTTTTTAGTTTTAGTTGTATGTTTTTTAACACTTCTACACCAGTTACACAGATAACAATTAGACCTTAGCAGCTATTTACTAACAAAGACGATGTGGAACTTTAGACACTTGCTATTAGTTATCAGGCAAGTTTGTTCAAATGTCCTCCAGCCTATTGTTAAACTATAGGCTCGTTGGAATGTTGTGATGTCACACGAACACAACCTATTCTATGGGGACAATGTATTATATTTGACTTAAAACAGCTACAGACCTTTATCTCACAGAAACGTGTCTGATGGCTGATGCAGGTCAGGCTGGGCTGTGGTGGAGCAGTGCTGTTCTCACTCTGGGGTCCCTGTCCAAATACACAGTTGCGGTGCACACATGGTGGCCAGATCTCATGAGGTGGAGGCAGGGGCACAGGTCAGGACCACTGAAAAGGTCGACACGGCTAGGACAAAGAGCACAGACATCCTCTGCTGCACTTTATACTTTCCTAACCTCCAACATTCAGTCTTTTTAGACATCTGCGTACAAAAAACTGCTCCATGTTTAAAAGGGCTCTCCAGATCATTAAAATCTTTATGGCATACCGTCCTAAGTCTCACATTCTTAGGTTTCTGGCGTGTCTTTAACAGAAATCTTAGGCTAAATGCTGCCCGTCTTGTAAATGTCCAGGCTTTTGTAACACATACTTTCTGTTAGTCCACAGTTGGATCACTATAATGACATGATTAGCTTGGAGTGTTTTGAGAGGTTAGGCACTGCCTCCACTAAAGTGTTTTCACAGACGGAGGAGCGTTCATCATAATGAGACGACTAATGAACTCTGTATATCCACAAGTATCAAGTACAGCCATCGAAATGGTCAGTATGTTTCTTAAAACAGGCCACCATTGTATATCAGGGGGACAAAGTTAGTCGATAAGTTTAAAGAATATGAAAAGTTAAATTGACAAGTACGTGAGGTGCACATCTGATGTTGTGAAACAGAATATGAATAACTGTTTGTTTTAGAGACTTCATCATTTACTGCTGCAGCTAGAATATGTAATGTTTTCATTGAGGTTCACATCACACCAGTCTCAAACCTAATGATTAATATGATGCTTCCTAAGGTCACAGCCAAAGGGAAGCGTTTAACAATAAATTGCAGGAGTTGTATAGCTCTCTCATAAAACATCACATGGACATCCCCGTCCTCATCTCCTCACTTTGTGACTCAAGAACGTCAAACCTGTAATTTAAGAAATGTTTTGCCCAAGGAATGCAATAAATCCTGTGACAGCAAACAGCAAAGGGGAGCAGAAGGAAAAAGAGGAGAAAAGCGTGAGTTTCCGCCTGCGCGTGTGAGTGAGAGGGTGGGGCGTCCCCGTTAACTGATACTGACTCAAGCTGGGTGGTCTGTGGCCTACGCATGCACCATTTTGTGTACAAATAAACCTCAACCCCCTTTTATGTCGTGCATTACAACTCCTCCCACTGCCTGTTTCACCGCATATCTGCTCTTCACATTACCGCATTTTAACACCAACAGCAATTACTGACACCATCAATTTAAATTGACAAGAAAGTTGGATTTCTGATCCAATCAGAGGAGTGTAAATACTCTCAAAAATGTTTCTAATAAAATGATACATAACAAAACAACAACATGAGGTCAGGCTTTATTCAAATTGAATTTACAAAGAGTTCAGAGCAAAGCCATACATGCCGCCTCCTGATGGGTAAATGCTTTAGATTTCCATGAGCTGATCACTTCCCACGATGACCTCGTTGGTCCTCTCAGCTGAAAAACAATAAATTCAAATAATTGCATTTAAAAGTTTCCCTCTGCACACAGTGAAAACTAACAAACTATTGTTCAATAATAAATCAATCATATTCACTTTGTTTTCCAGAGAAAAAAACCCTTGGACTTGTTTTTACAAATAACAATAATAGAATAATTCTGTGAAGACCAGAGTAGCGTTAAAACAAACAAGTATTCTACTGCATTCTAAACCACCCACTAAGACACAGATGAAGCCTGGAACAGTATCTGCTCGTGCTCCCAGAGTATATCGTAGGAAATCTCAGCCCGCTACAGTCTCCTCCATCCTCTATCACTGAGCGCTGCTACTGATCCAAAACAAGCGGTGGCAGAGTAATGTTCCATCCACACACAGCTTTTAGTGAGAAGGAATCTGCAGCTACAGACCAGCACGAGAAATGGAGCATGGGACAGAGTTTAGAGACCAAATCTCTACTTTCCAATAGTAATAAATAACATTTGCAAAAACGATATGTGCGGACAAGTAAAGTAATCGAATTCTTGTAATTCATATGGAATATATTTATTTAGTGGTGACAGTGGAGCAGAGGTCAAACTTGTCCAACACAGGAGCAAGTCGTTTCAGGAGTACGAATAGTGGCGGAGATAGTTGCCAGAGTTGCAATCACAGATATAATACAAAGGACAGTATGTTTTTTTTTAAGTTGAAAAAAAACACCATGCTCTAATTCTTTGGAAAGAAGCCTTCAATTGTGAAAATATAAATGAAAAATATGAATAAAAGGCTATCAGTGGCTCTTCAGGATTCACACTTTAACATACAGGTGCTTAAATACTTCTGTCATCTTCAGCACGGAGCCAAAAGCACATTAAATATACAGTATGACCAACCTCTTTTCAAAACTTTTCAGTATAAAGCTCTGATAGTCATTCACATACTACATGCATTGAAGTATATCCTCCGAGGCTTTTATAATTCAGCCTTCAGTTCTCTGGTTGTATCTCGAACCATAGTCTGTGTGGCCGATAACAAAAGTATCAGATTGTGCTTAAAGAGTCAAGCGTGATGGAGCGTCTCTTTGCCGTCTTTATTACCAATACATGTATGTGAATTAGGTCATACTGCCCGGAGGAGACGTCTCATAGACATATCACACCTGACAGGGGTGGGGGTGATAGGGGGGCTACTGTCAGGGTGGTCTGTAGCCGCTTGTGGGCGTGTAATGCCTTTAGCAGCCTCTAGTTCTCTCCAGTAAGTGACACGAAGCAATGTGAATTCTGGTCTTTTGCATATGCATTATAAAATAATACTCAAAAGCATACAGGTTTTTACCAACACACAGGTTTTCTAGACACAAAAAAATGGCCAGACTTTTAAGTTTATTGCCATGTGGTAATAAAGGCTTTTATAATATTATTTTTGAGTGTCTCAGAATATCAATTATTTGCATTTTGATACTGAACCCTGCACTGAAGAGCACTCAAAGAAACCATCCAAGTAGCACTCCTGCCACTTTTATTTTAACACCTTCACTAATAATATGATTTATTTGATTTAATTGTTTTTAGTTTTATTTTCATTCTTTTAAATTGGATAACTGGTATTTTATTGTTTTTAATCACATTTTCATTGTATTTTACTTCCTACTTTTTTAAACATATAAAGCTGGCAAACCTGTATATTTCAATTTGTTAATTTTATCCCTGTGCAGCACTTTAGAGACTAATCAATCAATTTTTTTACGCTTCCCATTTTGGGTGTGGCAGGATTTTCGACGTGGTTAGTGACCCACTATTCCCCACATTTTTTTACTTTTATAAATATATAAAAAATAACACTTAATCATTCATATCATTACCCGGTCATGTTGTCCCATTACCTACTACCTACACCCCGGTGTTAACGGCGGCGGCAACTGTTTGAGACATTTCTGGACCAGTTTAGCTCAACCTCACACTGTTGTTACTTAAAGCGGCCTGTTGTTCACTCAATTAGGCTGCTCAGTGTGGTGGCCGCGCTATACGTGTGCATGTGTGTCTGAATGCGGCCGCTGCTGTTGAATTCCGGGTGGTCCTGTTCTGGCGCTGCTCTCTAACCTCTCCATCAATGTTACGCACACACAAACACACGCACAGCTAGCTTTGGGGACAAGAGGATTAAACTTCTTTTTTTTTTAAGACTAGGACAAATCTATCACACAGTCTTGAGAATTAAGAAACTTTCAGAGTAGACTCAAACTCTGGGCACATTCCCCCTCTGTAGACAATTCTGGAAGGGATGGTTAAAAGTGCTGATCAAATGTAAAAGATGATGACTCTTCTAATAAGGCTCGAGTGGCTAACTGAGTTTTTAACAGTTTTTATGGTTCTTTCTATCACTAGTTTTGGCCTTTAAACAAGCTTTTTCAGTGAAACAGAGTTCTCAGCTCTCGGTATGTACAAGATAAAATATTATCTACTAAGATAAAGACTGCATGTTGTGGTCCAATTTGTTCACACAATGTTGCTGAAACATGAGTATTTCAGCTGGGACAAACCACATTTATTTATGAAATCAAAAAATGTTAGGTACTCCAGCGCTCTCCTTTTGTTTGACTAATTAAACAAAAAAATGCAACAATATATGTGCTGTGCTATAGTCTTACATTCTGCATCAATGCTTTGTCCATTTCCAACAAGACAGTATTTAAGGTCTGCTCCTCTCCCAATCACAGCATTACTGCAGATCACACTTCCCTGAATGTTGCATCTGGAAAGAAAAAAAACAAACATTATAATCACATTTTTTTATGTGTATTTTTATATAATAGGGATTACACTGCCCGATTTCCTGTGAGTCACAACCTTTTTGGGCCCAACACACCATTTGGGAATCCCTGCTCTTTAGCACTTGCCAACTTCGGAAGTAAACTGGAACATTTAGCTTCAAAATAAGCCTCTGCACCTGCCCAAATATCCTGGTACAAAATGGTGAGCAAGACGTCCGGGCTAATTAGGATTAATATTTCACTGGGATAAGCCTGGTGGACGTTTACTGGTTTGGTTAACAGGGTTCAAAATGTGCCGTTTGTGCTCTGGATCCTTAGAGAGTTGCGAGGTGTTTACAGTTCTCTCTGTTTTTGCTTTTTGGGTACACAACTCTGAGAACGCTCACACTGGGACTGACCCACTGACCATCGGCAACTCCAAAGCCAGCCTCAAACCGACAGAGGGAAAGATCGGCATTGCGGATTCTCCCACCTGTCGGGAAACCTCCAGTCCGCTGACGTTAATGACAAGCCATTAGCATATATATTAAACAACAACAGACCTGGGACATGTGTGCTCGAGTCTTGCTCTGGACATTTCTGGCTTGCACTCGCTGCACCACCTGAGTTGGCACCACTGACCCACCATGCATTCTTCCACACAGCCAAACCATCACCATAAAATTCTTGGACTGGACACACAGACCATCTTGTCTAACCCTGGAGAATGTGTCCGCTTAAGTGAATGTCTTGCCCGCGCAGTGACGCACACTCGCTTGGCCCGGCGCGCGCCCCACACATAGACGGAGATTGAATCCATTCTATTCAGTGGGACGAGCTGCTGCTGCTGCTGCTGCTGCTGCTGCTGCTGTGGCCTTGCATGGAGGTAGCGGAATTTGGTGATGGGAGACTACACGATTCAGAATTGTGCAACATTACAGACAGCACGGCACAGAGTGAGACCACCAAAGAAGCCGCCGTAGCTGAAACACTGCTAATTACTAACACCAGCACCCCTCCCTGCCACGACCCCCCCTCGAGCCTCCCTTCACACACACACACACACACACACAAACACATGCACGCACGTTACCCCCCCTTTTGCTGTAAAGCTGACCCCGACTATCCCCCTTACCAAACATGCAGCGCTTTGTCAACAAGCTCTGGTCAGCTCCAAACAAAGAGCCCAAATACTAGGGGCTTCTGCGACATGGCCGGGGTCTGCTAATCCCCTCATACTAGCTCTTTCTTTCCCTTTTTCTCCTTCCTTCTTATGTTCTCAAAGAAAGAAAAGAAAGAATTGCCATTTCTTTTCGTGCTCGCCTGTTCCTCCTTTCATGGCTTTGTTTGCTGCACCTATGTGGGCATCATGAGGGTCCCCATGCAGACTGGCTGGGGTCCCTAAAAAGGCTCAGGGCGAGACAGTGTGAGATAGACCGGACACAGGGATACAGCCATGAGCCATAGATGGGAAAAGCAAGAGAGATGAAAGGACAGAGAAGTCCATCAAATCTTGATGGGAGAGGAGTTTGCTTCCACCAGGGCCGTCTCCTCCAACTGTCATTTTCACTCAAATGCAGCCTTGAGAATGAAATGAGCCCAGACTTCTTCCCAAAAGTGTGTCCCAGATCTGAATAATGGATGATTATATGTTTTAAGAAATTAAAGAATATAAATGAATAATAAAGAAAAAGGCCTAGCAAAATATAATATGAATTAAACCAACATACATAAGAAATGTAATTATTTTAAACGACAAAGATGCTTTCCAAATTCCAAAAGCAGCGGGGTGCTGGCATTGGGAAACAAATTTGAGCCTAAATAAAATATATGGATGTAGTGTGATTCAGTCCACTAGCTCCGTGTTTGTTTGGAAGTGGGCTCTGGCTGGTTGCACCTCAATAGATGCATTGTTAATGCAGCGCTCTCTGTTTGACCCCACAGAGAACTACACCTCCCATCAGCACACTCGACTCGTAAAGGGACAGGGAAGATGTGTTAAACATATATTATATTTGTAGAACTGTGCTTACCCCTCTTCAATCGTGACATGATGCATGATGATGGAGTTGGCAACTTTGACCTTCTCTTTAATAGAAGTGTAGTTTCCAATCATGGTCCTCTTGATGGATGTTTTATCAGAAATCTGGCACTTCTCTCCGATTATACTGTCTGAGCCCATCTGTAGACATTTCAGAATCAGAATCAGTTCTATTGCCATTGTAAGTAACAGGAACTCAAAAAACTTATTTTGGCTCAAGATGCAAATAAATTAAAGAAGAAATGGAAAAGACATACATAAAAATTGTATTCTACTTTTCTACTATATACAAGTGTACAAGTACACATGTGTTTTTTATCACACTTTTGCAAACGTTGGCATTGGTATTGTTGAATATGTTGACAGATAAATTGTTATACGAAAAGCTTTTCATACCTGACATTTTTCAGAAATAACAGCAGATGGATGGACTGCCGGTTCTTCAAACAACTTTGGAGCCTAATCCACAAAGAAAAATATCATTAATTTAGTTTATCGAAAATAAATCCAACTCATGTTGAAAATATAACCATTCTGTGGTCAGGGAAATTTATAACAGGTATGGCACATGGTGAATGTCGGCGCTGACCGTTTCTGCATAACTAACCAGTCTGTTGGCCTCAATATAAGCAGCCAGTGTATTGACCCGAAAGCATAGGCCCTGGTCCATTATGTGAACATAGCAGCGGAGCTTTCCCCCGTGGTACGCCTCGCTCATATCGCCCCGGTGGTCATTCCAGCACGAGCGCTCCTGGGCCAGCTGAAGCAGACACTCGTCCTGCGATGAAATCAGGAGCTCTGGACAGAAGCACAGCACAAAAATCACTTGGAGAATCCCAGTATATTTTTGTACTTGATAAACAAACTTTTATATATGGCTCACCGTGGCTAGCTAGGCAGTCACTGGTCTTTTGGCTTTGATCTTCAGTGTCTTCCTTCATTTTTGAATTATTAATGGTTTTTGAAAATTGTTTTCGCACTAGATAAGGCACTAACTCACCACGAATTGATGAGATTGATCTGTAAACATGACACATACATAGTTACTCAAGCAATAAAACACATTACATTTTATCTAAGCTGGGGGTGGTTTGTCAATTATGTAAGGTGAATCTTTACCGACTGGACTAAGAGAAACATTTAGAACCAAGGCTTATTCGGTAACTTTCTTTTTTATTAACTAGGCTCCAAGTAGATAAAGCAGAGCAATGGCCAGTCTTCTTGTGACTGGCTTAATTTACTTTGCTCAGCACTGAACTTGCACAGCACTGAACTTGCACAAATTCCTTCTAACTCCCAGTGTCTTTTAAAGGGAGATTAGAATTTCCATCTGAATGACAAGAGAAAACAAGAGTTACTCAGTATTTCTATCACAGAGCAGGAGACATTGAACAAGAGAGAAGAAAGGGGAAGACGGAGTCCAGAAAGAGAATCTAACAAGAGCCTTGAATAAATCTGCTTGTTCTCAATTATTTGAAGATGGAACAATCGTGACGACACAACATAACGGGTTTAATCCAATGCACAAAGTCACAAAATGGCGTTTTGGCCGATACTTGTATTGTGCAGAGTGCATGCATTCACAGGGGATTGTTTTGTTTAAAATCCTTTATGTCAATCTGGAACAAAGTCGCTTACCCCTCACCCAAAGTTGAGTTTCATTATAAAAAAAAATAATATCAATATTTAGAAAGACAAAGGAGGTTAAAATAAGTTATGACATGTACTTGCTGGACTAATAGGTGCACCTGTATATAAACAGCACCAGATATATTTTTATATAAAGTACATTTTGTCCACATATAGGCTGCACTGCAAGTTTAACACTTGACAAACAGCTGATGAACGATTTAATGCACTGTTGACTTGTGGTCAAAGCTTTGTATAAAACACAATGAACTTCAACTTGCACAGCTATAGTCACTTTTAATTTAATTGTGCATAATATATCTTGCACAAAAAAGACCATCTCTTAACCTTTTAAACATATTTCCACACTTCCGGTCACCCTGAGTGATTCTATCTATCCCAAATGTGACATGTACATTTCTCACAATGGAGAAACTCATTCAGCAATCTACAGTGGTTCTCAAAGTAGGAGGGAAGGATTATATCAAATAACACAATAAACTGCCCATTGGATTTAGAATTATTGACACACACCGAGAATTGTTTCTTGGGTCACTGCATTTAACCCAATATTTGACAAAAAACAAGACAATTAATGTGAAATTAGGCCAAATAAACAGTGATTAAACAGTGGGCCCAACCTTCAATGAAGCAAATTCTACTTTTCCAGCAACCAGAGGGCCTAACTAGGGCTGAAACAACTAATCGATTAATCGACGACTAATCGATTATTGAAATAGTCGACAACTATTTTAGTAATCAATCAATCGTTTTCTGGTTCACACGGACTCAAACAGAGCAAAAATGACATGAAAATGTAGTATTTTTGATTAAAACCGACTTTGTTTTTATAATTTCATGAATATCTGTCTGTCTCATCCAATCAGATAGCAGAATTAGCACAAAGAGCCTGTTACAAACATTTACTTTAAGTTTACGCCATCAATACGTCCTCGAGTGTTGCCACTTTAGCTTTTTGTGATGAAAAAATAAATTTTCTCTACACAATTCACAGCCAAGCAATTACTCGATTAATCGTAAAAATAATCGATAGATTAATCGATTACAAAATAATCGTTAGTTGCAGCTCTAGGCCTAACCCATTTTAAAATAGGTTGGCAAGTTTGGTTCGCATTGTGATTAATAGCAAAAGGAAATATATATTTTATTTTTTCCAGTATTTATTTCATAATTAAATCTTAGATAATTAGTTTTACTTATGTAGGAGGAGTTGATTGTGCGCATATTTTTGGGATCCATGACTGAAAAGAGAACCACTGGCTAATGGCATGGTTCTTTCATCTACGTTTTCCTGAGCAAATATCAAACCATTTTTTGAATCGCTACAGGCCTTATTTATTTGACCTTTATTTAACCAGGAAAGCCCCAATGAGATTAAGAACCTCTTTTTCAAGGGAGTCAGGGACAAGAGGCAGCAAAAGTTACGCACCGTTACATACACATATTGCGTGTCCTTCAGCCCTCTATTGTCTTTAGATCTCGCATAAACATTTCCACTCAAGTCCCCATAGCACTGTTGCTGTGTTACATCTCCTTACAGTATGGCAGGTAGTTTGTGACATTGCTTCACTTTGAGGTTAAAGGCCTAACTACTTTCCTCAGTGGCACATAGTAAAACAAATTAACACTTCCCTGGAATATCCTGCTAATGGGACCTTTACATACTGCGCACAATGGGAAAGTAGCAAAGCGCCTCCTGTTCGGCGACCCTGCTCCCATCTCTGTGAGGAGTGAGAGACAAATGCCCAAAAAATAACAATTGTAAACCGCTTTGTGACTCTGGTCTGTGAAAGGCGGTATATAAATAAAGCTTACTTACTTACTTAAAGCCGAGTTCATGTCAGACACTTTCGGAGTTGCTTACTATTCGATGTGGAAGTCTGGAGGAGGCATGCTACTTAAAAAGAGACATATTATGCTAAATTTACCTTTTTGAGCCTTTAACCATTTCACAAAATTGTTCCGTCACCAAAAAACAGACAAATTGGAGTTGTTTTTAGATCCATCCACGCTATTATCAGACACTTCTGGCAAAAATATACTCTACACCTTCTGTCTAAATGCTCCCGTCTCATTTCTGTAATTGACGCTCAGAGTCGTGTTTTGCCTTTAAAACAAAATACATTTCCAGCCTGGATACTTGAAGTATTTTTAGGTACATTTATTTCACTCTAAAACATTAAATTAAAATGTAAATAGTCACATGATATATTCTAATAAATACAACATAATAATGCATAATATTTCTTCTATAAAGACAGTGAATAATAATAGTAATATTTTGCATAACTATATAGAACTCACTTGTTTTCTGTAATAAAGTCCACCACAGCCTTTTTGAGACAATAGAGATGAGCGTCTTCAAGCCCGGTTTTGATGTGCATACGAGGATGTCTGAAAACATAATGCCATTTTTAAGAAATACATTAATCTCGTAACGTACATGTGTCGAACACTTTCTACATGATCGTCATGAGAAACCACTCGTGCCTGACGACTTCTTGGGGGGTATTTTTGTTTGAATGTCTGCATGTATACTCTTCTTGAGTTTTATTTGTTTGTCTCTCTTTTACTAACTCTCCTTTTTAATCTTCTCGGTGCATGAATGCTTGATGAAAACCAGATGACATTAAAGTCTTAAAGTTGTGACATCTGTCTATTGTCCTGCCCCAGCCACCGTAGAAGTCACCCCACAGAGCCCCTGTTATGAGCAAGCTGCAGGCGAGACAGCTTTATGTTGACTTTGTGCACACATAGATAGACAATAAGTCACGGTGGCGCTGAGTTTGAACATGTGACATTTATGAAGCGAGAGCCAATGAAAGCCATTTCGACCTCCAGGTTTCCATAAACAAATCAGGCCTCACCTCTCGGACCTACCCTCCTCTTCCTCTGCCCTTCCAATCATTACATAATAAAAGCAGCGGGGTGCACTGCATCAGCACACTGCCTTAACATGCTGTAGCCCATTAGCTGCTAATCACATACACCATCCATTAGTGTTCAATAGTTTGGACATGTTTCACTGGTTTAGCAAAGTGATTTCAAATGTCTGCCTTTCATTAACAGACTAAAGATGCTTGCAGAATAACAAAAAACATATGTAGAGCAAAATCTAATATAAAGAAAAACATAATGTAAACAGAGTTGTCTTGGAAGCAACAGATGAGGACATTCTAATTAATGAAGAAAATCTATCAATCTTCACTGTGCATTAATCATTCACTCCATATGGTTGTAAGCTACAGTGGTAGACACAGCTGCCCTGGGGCAGACTGAATGAAAAGGGTTGACACACAGGTGACACCAGGAGACCCCCGACCACCACCAAGCATTCTCTCATTTACCACCAGTTACTTGGTAATGTGGATGAGGTGTCTTAAGAACACAATGACAGTTTGAAACGTCCTGTACTAGTTTCCTGGACTACTCGGCTTCTGACTAGATCAGGCTTTAACCTCCAGGAATGGCCACTTGGGAACTTTCCATCAGTTGATTTTGATTGTAATATATTATCCCCAATTCTCAAATCCAAAACTTTTCATAAACATCCTTGAATACAATAAATATGTTTTAGTGCAGGTGCCACACCAAACAGCCTTGAGTGAATAATGTGCCTGGTGCATATGAATGTAAGCTGAACCAATAAACAAAAAACAAGGAAATTATAGGAAAAGTGTTTTTGTAATTGAATAATTTAAATCAATGATTAATTGTTACAGTCTTTAGGGTTAGGGTTAGGGTTAGAAAAAACAATTCCAGTCATTAATCCCTGTCTTCATCACTGCTCCTCAGTCCATCTATGAATAATGTGCTTCCAAAGTGACGCAGAAGGATCGCTCAGTCACATATTTTACAGCGAGCCGTTGAAAGCCATTCATCAAACCTGGTGTTCGTCGTAGTAAAGTAAATGTATTCAAAAGCATTAAAACTCATGTGCATTCAGCGCTGCTCTGCAGGGGATTCACCAGGGCATAAATTCTTACACAACATTGTGTGTCACCAACACTCAACTGTCAAGGGAGCTCAGACCAACTCATAAGATCAAGGTTTTATGCATGCATACATTACTTTTAAAAACAACTGTACAATAAGGGCTGATGGATGTCAAGAGGTTGATCAAATGTCATCTTAAAAGCTTCTCACCAATGCATTTAGATCCTGTTTGTTTTGTTCATGTAATTACAGGTCTGGCACTTTTACAAGATCTCCTATTTCCCAAACAAGGCATCTTACAGTTCTTCTAAAATGCATCAAGGTTTCCCGTACCACTGACAGCTGTTGAGTTTAGCGTAAAAGAGACAATAATTTAGTAGTTCTGCAGGCGGGGATGATTCATCTGTCGGATTAATGACTGGGGTAAATAAAGAACTGCTCACATCTATGGTAATGTCTTACTTTCCACTAAACCCCATGATTTCACACTGCAGAAGGACAGTTCATATCCTCATTAGCAGGTTTTTGCCCCAGAGCTAAGGACATCACGAAGCTTATTTTGAAAGAAAAATAGCAGGATTTGTTAAACATGGTTCAGGACTAAAATGTTCATGTTCATTATTTCTTAAAAGCTGTAGATAAAACCATTTACCGTCACTCATTTACAGATGGGGCAAAGTGAGGGGAGAGTGTGGTTTCAAACAGATACAGTTTGATGTAATTACATGAATGGCAGCCCTTTAATTTTGACCCTTACATCGCTACACATTAAACTATTTTCCCGCCATGTTAAGCACTAAATAACAATTTTCTCTCAAGGACGTTCAGAGGTCAACCTTTGAAGTGATGCAAAACAAAAATTAGACAGATGCATGAGAGAGCTGTTGCATCATTGTAGGGTTAAAGTGGAAGTTTTGGTCGACATGAAGGACTCCACAGACATTTGGTCAACTAAAAAGGAAACGTGAAAAAAACTAAAAATTATTACTATTATTACTATTTAAAATCCATGCAAGTACAGGAAAACCATGTTACCATTAAGATAAGTGTGAATTTACTTGAAGATTGCAATGAAACAGGAATACAAACAATACCAAGCCAAATATTCAGCTAATTTAATGCAAGGCTAGGCAAGTTTATCTGTATAGCACAATTCATATACAAGACGACTCAAAGTGCAAATTTACAACATAATTTTCTATGTTTGCCATTTTAACTTCTATTCTGAAAATTCAAAATAATTGGTCAACTTGGTCATCAATCAATCACTTAAAGAGAGAGCCCTACACCATCGGTGAGTCATGAGTGATTGATGAAATAAAAGACTAGTATGTTGCCGTTCAGAGTAGACTAGCATCTATTTTATGAAATAAATATATATATATATATATATATATATATATATATATATAGGGAAACTTCACCTCTGCATTTGACCCAACCCTTAATGTAAGTAAGTAAGTAATGTTTATTTACAGTGCCTTGCGAAAGTATTCGGCCCCCTTGAACCTTTCAACATTTCGCCACATTTCAGGCTTCAAACATAAAGATATAAAAATTATTTTTTTGTCAAGAATCAACAACAAGTGGGACACAATCGTGAAGTGGAACGAAATTTATTGGATAATTTAAACTTTTTTAACAAATAAAAAACTGAAAAGTGGGGCGTGCAATATTATTCGGCCCCCTTGCGCTAATACTTTGTAGCGCCACCTTTTGCTGCAATTACAGCTGCAAGTCGCTTGGGGTATGTCTCTATCAGTTTTGCACATCGAGAGACTGGAATTCTTGCCCATTCTTCCTTGCAAAACAGCTCGAGCTCAGTGAGGTTGGATGGAGAGCGTTTGTGAACAGCAGTCTTCAGCTCTTTCCACAGATTCTCGATTGGATTCAGGTCTGGACTTTGACTTGGCCATTCTAACACCTGGATACGTCTATTTGTGAACCATTCCATTGTAGATTTGGCTTTATGTTTTGGATCATTGTCCTGTTGGAAGATAAATCTCCGTTCCAGTCTCAGGTCTTTTCAGACTCCAACAGGTTTTCTTCCAGAATGGTCCTATATTTGACTCCATCCATCTTCCCATCAATTTTAGCCATCTTCCCTGTCCCTGCTGAAGAAAAGCAGGCCCAAACCATGATGCTGCCACCACCATGTTTGACAGTGGGGATGGTGTGTTCAGGGTGATGAGCTGTGTTGCTTTTACGCCAAACATATCGTTTTGCATTGTGGCCAAAAAGTTCAATTTTGGTTTCATCTGACCAGAGCACATTCTTCCACATGTTTGGTGTGTCTCCCAGGTGGCTTGTGGCAAACTTTAAACTAGACTTTTTATGGATATCTTTGAGAAATGGCTTTCTTCTTGCCACTCTTCCATAAAGGCCAGATTTGTGCAGTGCACGACTGATTGTTGTCCTATGGACAGACTCTCCCACCTCAGCTGTAGTTATCTGCAGTTCATCCAGAGTGATCATGGGCCTCTTGGCTACATCTCTGATCAATCTTCTCCTTGTTTGAGATGAAAGTTTGGAGGGACGGCCGGGTCTTGGTAGATTTGCAGTGGTCTGATACTCCTTCCATTTCAATATAACTGCTTGCACAGTGCTCCTTGAGATGTTTAAAGCTTGGGAAATCTTTTTGTATCCAAATCCGGCTTTAAACTTCTCCACAACAGTATCTCGGACCTGCCTGGTGTGTTCCTTTGTCTTCATGGTTCTCTCTGCGCTTTAAACAGAACCCTGAGACTATCAAAGAGCAGGTGCATTTATACGGAGACTTGATTACACACACGTACATTCTATTTATCATCATCAGTCATTTAGGACAACATTGGATCATTCAGAGATCCTCACTGAACTTCTGGACTGAGTTTGCTGCACTGAAAGTAAAGGGGCCGAATAATATTGCACGCCCCACTTTTCAGTTTTTTATTTGTTAAAAAAGTTTAAATTATCCAATAAATTTCGTTCCACTTCACGATTGTGTCCCACTTGTTGATTCATGACAAAAAATAAAATTGTATATCTTTATGTTTGAAGCCTGAAATGTGGCAAAATGTTGAAAGGTTCAAATACTTCGAATACTTTCGCAAGGCACTGTATATAGCGTATTTTACAGACCAAGGTCACCCAAAGCGCTTTACAATGTTCAGAGTTCAGATATTGTTCCGATCATTTCACACATGGTGATGACGGAAGCGAGTCGCTGAACACACTGGCGCGTCAGCCCCCAATCAACACCATCCATTCACTCTCTCATTTTACATTCATACCTATTGTGCATGTTTTTCGTAGTAGGGGAAACCGGAGCACCCGGAGGAAACCTACGCAGACACGGGGAGAACATGCAAACTCCACTCAGAAAGCCCCTGTTCCGACTAGGAGAAGCGAGAGTGCTATCCACTCAGCCACTGTGCCGTACATGATGCACTGGGTTTATTCTGAAGTACCAAATCCAAAGCCCAACTTAAGTGCGGTGCACGTGCAGAGGTCCGCTAGATGGCTAAAACAGTTTGATCTCGTAAAATGAGCCACTGGGTTTAGGAAATGCATTAAATTGTGGAATTTGATTACACCCTTCAGCAATAAATAGTGTTTGAGCCGTGTGTTTGCGTTTCATCTGCGCGTGTGTATATAAATGAATCACGATGATTTATAGAACGTGAAGGTTTCAAAGTAAGCAAGGCCTGTTTTGCTGTGTATCCATAACAGAGTGACAATTCGTGTGTGTTTTCTCTCCATCACTGTCCACCTTCAGGTCATGTTCGAAGTGTTTGTAAGCATTTGCATGCAAGTGTGCACATTTGGAGGCAAACCTGCATGCAGCTGCTCGACCCCCCTCTTATTGGCCAAAATTTACAGTGGCTTTGGCTCCATGAAGTATTTACGAGCTTCCAAAACACCCGCTCACACATACGCAAGCATTTCAGACGAACCCACCTAGAGTAGAAAGAATTCTACAACCAGAATCCCACACACAACTGTATGGAACTCACTGTCTTATTACAACTTGCATTCAATATCTGGCAATGGTATAGGGAACAATGTTTATAAATACGGTAGTTTATGGTGGCAGGAGGGCTCATCTTGACATTTACTTAAAAAAACTCCAACATATGAAAGAGATTGATCACATTAAAATATCAACAATATCAAAGCACAAAAGAATAATCAACCAGACTTACTTTCTCATGATGGATTTCCTGATTGACAGTCCATCTTCCAGATCTGCCTCATTGGCCATGAAGAGAAGCCTTTTGCCTGAATGATCCACACCTACAAAGTCCCTCTGCTCAGCTGAAAATATAACATAATTCAACCAGACCACTTACACCTCCTTCCAGTCAGCTTTAAAATCATTACCTGCTTTCTTCTTCCCCTTCTGTCCTGGGACGGTCTCTGTGAACTCATGTGTCTTGCTCATCAACATAGCCATGGTGGCGTTGTGCGCGCGGAACAGATCGACCACTTCGTGAAGCGCCACATCGGTTATGAGGTCACAACTCAGAACCAAAATGTCCGTCTGTAAAAAATACAAAAAACAACACATACATTCAATGCTTGCATTGACTTTGATATGATAATGTAGTGAATAAGTCATCTTTATGTGGAGCCTTTCACAGAAACAGTCACAAAGTGCTAAACAATTGTTGTGGGCATTTTTCTTCTAATTCTAAACACAGTGATGACCACTGTCTGGTGGTGGAATCAAACTTGAAGCTGTGCTAACCAGTGCTTCAGTGGGAAGAGCAATTCAAAACTTGTTTTGTATGATGATCACTTCATGATCAATCCAGAGTATAAAGGTTTAACTGGATTCGTGCAGTTCTGAGCTTTAAAATTAGATATGACAAATGTTTAAAATTAGATATGTCAAATGTTTACCGTTTACCTTGGCACTAGCTACATTTGCACAATACAGAATTTTAGTACAACTACAAATAAATGTATTATCAAACAAAGTCAACAATTGGAGTCGAGATTGTGGAGCTTTACAACGACATATAAGCAGAGCTGAAGTTGGCTGGATGACACTGAAGAAGTGTTTATGATCTTATTATTTGAATTCTATTGTCTATTATCTTAAATAATAGACTGTTTGATGTGTGCAAACTGAGCGCTCGTATTTCCTTCTTTCTCTGCTGTAATGTGCGCAACAATGAAATTTCCCCACTGTGGGACAAACAAAGGAATATCTTATCCGATGATCTCAGGCAAGAGGGCCACATAACATGACACAGAGGGCCACAATTGGCCCGCAGGCCTGACTTTGGACATGCCTGCTTTAAAGAGATCATATTTTTTTTTAGAGAGATGGAGATAGGAGCAATTGTTCTTGATCAGCGGTGTAGTATTACTTAAACAATACATGGGCCAACTAAAGCACTCACACACTTTAGGCTCTGGGTTACACTTGCCTAAACAGACTTGACAGTAGGCAGGAACTCCTGTCTTCCTCTCTTGTTTAAGGTATGCAGGAGGGCTGGAGTGTCATTGAGCACAATTTTCTTTCAGAATATACACGTAAAAAACAGACACTTGATCACTTCAATCAGAGTTATTTGGTTTCTGTACTGAACTTATGAATTACATGATTGGCAAAAGTGCTGCATTGCCTCTCCTGGTGTAAAACATATTGGGCTACATAGCTCTTGAAATGAAATGTGCAATACAAATAAATCATGAGTATCAACAAAAAAATTCCTGCCTATAGATTTCTCAGGCCTCAGTATAGTAAAAACCTTGGCTCACTTATACGCAGATATGGCTTGTAAAGTACTGACTTATAAGTCACTTTCTTGGTCTCCAACGTAGATACAATTAAATGCCATAAAAAGGTGGAAAATTCCAGGGTATATTTAGACGGACCCCAAGCAAAAAACAGTAAAGTGCGACTAACCTCTAACCCAACAATACACAACAAACATTTTCCCAACCCGTTTTGACGTGAAAAAATTATGGCGCTTGCCCTTTAAACATGTTTTTGAGAGAACCGCTGTGGACATTGAAAACCTGCTAATATAGGGACAACATTGAGAGTACAGTCTTGTCTCCCAATCCATCACTGACGATTATTTCATGTATCCATGTTTACATTTATGTGTCTGTGTGCGGTATCCATCTGTCTGTGTGCAGATCTGAGCTGTCAACATGAGGCCTAATCCCGCCATTAGTGCCAGATGCCCAAACGCTGAAACGAAAAGTGTAAAAGAACAAACTATGGCAACCTCCAGATTTGAAACGATGACGAATTCAGCTATTTACGCTAAAGATTGAGATTTTATAAGGGTCAAGGAGGTTCGCCATCAAGTTGACCTGCACCACCATCATCTGGATCATGATCTGGTGAGAAGAAACTCGCAAGATTCGATGCACGTCTGCTGCGGATCTAGCAACACTGAGGCTCTGGGACCTTTCAACTCTTCCCTATCACACAAGAGCGTTCCCACACAGGCGGAGGCGACAGCGGAGTGGAGTCAGCTGGAGAGCCACAGACACTCTGGCCTTTCAACAGCCACCATCCCTGGACACAGGTCAGGACCACACACGAGCCAGCAGTCCCACCAGCTCTGCGGGCAAATCCATTTTAGGGTTTGAGTTTAAGGACTGCTGTTAATCTATTTTTGGTTCCCGGTTTACAGGTTTATAATTTACAAGGGATTTTTGATTTTACTCAAGTCACTCAGGCAAGGGATTTCCAAACTTTTCAGACAGACCAGAATAAACACAAACACGACTGGCGACACTCACTATATAACAAAGTTAAATTATGTTGCATAAAACTTGAGTCATTATAAATAGTAAATATTAATAAAAGAATTTACTAAATAGGATTCTATAATCGTTGCATTGAAAAGCATCTCGCCAACTCCAGTTTTAGTCCTGTGACCCTTCCTATGGGAACCAAGGAACTGGACAATCAACATTAGCATGCAATTTCCCTGTCCAAATAACGAGAATAAACACTCGGAGAGCACATACCCCGCCAACAGTACATTGCACGTCCACATGATAGAGATATTACTGCAGAATATTGTAATGCAAGTACAAAAATAATTAGTATAGTACTAGTATATACTTCTCAATGACAAAATGTTACCATAATATTTTCAGTTCAAGTGTTAAAGGATCACAGAGTGCTAATCTCACATGTTACCACACCAAGTACACATTTGAAATATTATGCTGCATAAATCAAAGCAAACTCAAATTGAAAATATTTAATCTTTAAAAAAAAAAAAAGCTGAGCTACAAACACATCTGCTGCCAGGTTATTAAGCCCATTGACAATAAAGGTAGTGCGTTTACACTGGTCTATTTACTGGATGAGGATTAGAGTGCAACAATGAGAAATATTCCTCCAAAAATAATACAATATGTCACGTATAATCTGGCTTTTCAGTGATGAAGAAAGATGACCGCCTTTGCTTAGCTAGAGCAAACACTGATTCCTGTAAGAGGTTACACCAAATCCCTTCGTGGGAGTGCGTTTATGTAAGGAGATGCGTGAGCAAATATGTCTATACTGTACTCATGCATCAGGTCGACAGTTTGAGTGATTTCTGCGCTGGGATTTGGCGAGCCATGGTTACGGTCCTTCACTCGTCACCCTTCAGTGTGTCAGTGAGGGTAACTCAATGCCTCTAATCTAACAGGCTGCTCAAAGGATTAGGAAGCAGCCTCTTCTCAATGGAAGCATGCTGCAGCTAGTCCGGCCCCAGAGTGTACGTGTGTGGGGTTACGCTATGCACCTATTGGACAAAGGCAATAATACGAATGTGGTGAAACCCATTCATATGGCACAGAGAAAATATTTAACTCACCTGTCACAACAAAATGTGGCATTTTAAGCTTTTGACGAATCCCTTTCAATGAAAAAAATGAGCTGATTTAGAAGATTGTGACGGGTTGTAAGTGTTAGTTGTAGCTAACCGCAACGGTTATCAGCGAATGAACATCTTTTCAAAGTGTGATTTGTCTGATTGGTCATTTTAAATGAACAATTATATTCGGAATAAGTTTATTAAGCTGGACAAAAATAATGCATTATTTAATATCATCATCATCATAATTATCATTAAGGCATACAGCAGATATTCTAAAAAGAGAATATAGGCAGAGTAAAGATTTTTATGGACTATCGTTAGTTGCTTTTGTACTCGCGTGCGTACATGCGTTTTATGCACATGAGAAAATGAAAGCCAAGGGCCCCTTTAGTCAAACACAATCTTCAACACTTTGCATAAAGCCTGCACGACAGGATATATAAACTCTTCAGAATATCCATAAGTCTGTCAAAAGTGTGACATCTATAACCTCACACAAACACAAACGTAGCACAGATGTATACCAACTAGGGATGAAAAATAAATGGTGCGGCGGGTAAACTGGCAGCACAGGGAGTTTGAAGCATGACCTCATATGCTTATAGAGAAAAGGATGAAGGGAAGCACGGACAGAACCAGGCCCGGACTGGCCATCGGGAGCATCGGGAGATCTCCCGGTGGCCTGCGTGTCAAAGTGGCCTGGGCCTGCCCTATCATCACGGTCTTGTGCGTGAACGAGTTCAAAAGAACGCGTTCATTGAACACGCTCATTTTTTCGTGAAACGTTGAACACATTTTTTAATAAATAACTTGAACGTGAATTAGTTCATATTATGTGTCATGAACGGCAGACAATTTGTTTTCCATTTAAAACTGAGTGAAATCTGTTTTCTCTTTTGAAACGCAACGAGAGAAAGTTCCTCCCTCCTGTATTCTCCGCACTGTTTCCGCCGAAAACTAAAAATTCCTACGGTTTCCACCGTCTGTGAACGCACCCCGACTCAGTGTACTTGCGGTGCGGCGCTATATGCTAGTGCTATTCATTGGTTGTTGGACTCACATGTGCCGTGATGAAAACACAGGGGTAAGTCAGTGACACAGGGCCGTTTACATTTGACATAAAGTATAGACACACGTTCTGCAGCGCATTACAGTTTGTACTTATGAGCAGAGATGGGACAACTCAGTTCCCATTGAAACCCATGTAAATCTTGTCTGCATTGGAGTCAAAACATCCTGTGCAGTGTACAGGATATAATTTATATATATATATATATATATATATATATATATATATATATATATATCAAGAAGTCCTACCAATGGCTAGAAAGGGCTGGCCTACAGGACAGCACAGAGGCACTCATCATGGCTGCACAGGAACAGGCACTGAGCACCAGAGCGATAGAGGCCCAGATATACCACACCAGACAAGACCCAAGGTGTCGGTTGTGCAAAGAGGCACCTGAGACGATCCAACACATAACTCCAGGGTGCAAGATGCTGGCAGGGAAGGCCTACATGGAACGCCATAACCAAGTGGCTGGCATAGTGTACAGAAACATCTGTGCAGAGTATGGGCTGGAAACCCCAAGGTCTAAGTGGGAAACTCCTCCAAAGGTGGTGGAAAATGAGCGTGCGAAGATCCTGTGGGACTTCCAGATACAGACCGACCGAATGGTAATGGCGAACCAAC